CGTGAATCGTGTTCCCTCGTGAATCGTGTTCCCTCGTGAATCGTGTTCCCTCGTGCATCGTGTTCCCTCGTGAATCGTGTTCCCTCGTGAATCGTGTTCCCTCGTGAATCGTGTTCCTCGTGAATCGTGTTCCCTCGTGAATCGTGTTCCCTCGTGAATCGTGTTCCCTCGTGAATCGTGTTCCCTCGTGAATCGTGTTCCCTCGTGAATCGTGTTCCCTCGTGAATCGTGTTCCCTCGTGAATCGTGTTCCCTCGTGAATCGTGTTCCCTCGTGAATCGTGTTCCCTCGTGAATCGTGTTCCCTCGTGAATCGTGTTCCCTCGTGAATCGTGTTCCCTCGTGAATCGTGTTCCCTCGTGAATCGTGTTCCCTCGTGAATCGTGTTCCCTCGTGAATCGTGTTCCCTCGTGCATCGTGTTCCCTCGTGAATCGTGTTCCCTCGTGAATCGTGTTCCCTCGTGAATCGTGTTCCCTCGTGAATCGTGTTCCCTCGTGAATCGTGTTCCCTCGTGAATCGTGTTCCCTCGTGAATCGTGTTCCCTCGTGAATCGTGTTCCCTCGTGAATCGTGTTCCCTCGTGAATCGTGTTCCCTCGTGAATCGTGTTCCCTCGTGAATCGTGTTCCCTCGTGAATCGTGTTCCCTCGTGCATCGTGTTCCCTCGTGAATCGTGTTCCCTCGTGAATCGTGTTCCCTCGTGAATCGTGTTCCCTCGTGAATCGTGTTCCCTCGTGAATCGTGTTCCCTCGTGAATCGTGTTCCCTCGTGAATCGTGTTCCCTCGTGAATCGTGTTCCCTCGTGAATCGTGTTCCCTCGTGAATCGTGTTCCCTCGTGAATCGTGTTCCCTCGTGAATCGTGTTCCCTCGTGAATCGTGTTCCCTCGTGCATCGTGTTCCCTCGTGAATCGTGTTCCCTCGTGCATCGTGTTCCCTCGTGAATCGTGTTCCCTCGTGAATCGTGTTCCCTCGTGAATCGTGTTCCCTCGTGAATCGTGTTCCCTCGTGCATCGTGTTCCCTCGTGAATCGTGTTCCCTCGTGAATCGTGTTCCCTCGTGAATCGTGTTCCCTCGTGAATCGTGTTCCCTCGTGAATCGTGTTCCCTCGTGAATCGTGTTCCCTCGTGAATCGTGTTCCCTCGTGCATCGTGTTCCCTCGTGAATCGTGTTCCCTCGTGAATCGTGTTCCCTCGTGAATCGTGTTCCCTCGTGAATCGTGTTCCCTCGTGAATCGTGTTCCCTCGTGAATCGTGTTCCCTCGTGCATCGTGTTCCCTCGTGAATCGTGTTCCCTCGTGAATCGTGTTCCCTCGTGAATCGTGTTCCCTCGTGCATCGTGTTCCCTCGTGCATCGTGTTCCCTCGTGAATCGTGTTCCCTCGTGAATCGTGTTCCCTCGTGAATCGTGTTCCCTCGTGAATCGTGTTCCCTCGTGAATCGTGTTCCCTCGTGAATCGTGTTCCCTCGTGCATCGTGTTCCCTCGTGAATCGTGTTCCCTCGTGAATCGTGTTCCCTCGTGAATCGTGTTCCCTCGTGAATCGTGTTCCCTCGTGAATCGTGTTCCCTCGTGAATCGTGTTCCCTCGTGAATCGTGTTCCCTCGTGAATCGTGTTCCCTCGTGAATCGTGTTCCCTCGTGAATCGTGTTCCCTCGTGAATCGTGTTCCCTCGTGCATCGTGTTCCCTCGTGAATCGTGTTCCCTCGTGAATCGTGTTCCCTCGTGAATCGTGTTCCCTCGTGAATCGTGTTCCCTCGTGAATCGTGTTCCCTCGTGAATCGTGTTCCCTCGTGAATCGTGTTCCCTCGTGAATCGTGTTCCCTCGTGAATCGTGTTCCCTCGTGAATCGTGTTCCCTCGTGAATCGTGTTCCCTCGTGAATCGTGTTCCCTCGTGAATCGTGTTCCCTCGTGAATCGTGTTCCCTCGTGCATCGTGTTCCCTCGTGCATCGTGTTCCCTCGTGAATCGTGTTCCCTCGTGAATCGTGTTCCCTCGTGAATCGTGTTCCCTCGTGAATCGTGTTCCCTCGTGAATCGTGTTCCCTCGTGAATCGTGTTCCCTCGTGCATCGTGTTCCCTCGTGAATCGTGTTCCCTCGTGAATCGTGTTCCCTCGTGAATCGTGTTCCCTCGTGAATCGTGTTCCCTCGTGAATCGTGTTCCCTCGTGAATCGTGTTCCCTCGTGAATCGTGTTCCCTCGTGAATCGTGTTCCCTCGTGAATCGTGTTCCCTCGTGAATCGTGTTCCCTCGTGAATCGTGTTCCCTCGTGCATCGTGTTCCCTCGTGAATCGTGTTCCCTCGTGAATCGTGTTCCCTCGTGAATCGTGTTCCCTCGTGAATCGTGTTCCCTCGTGAATCGTGTTCCCTCGTGAATCGTGTTCCCTCGTGAATCGTGTTCCCTCGTGAATCGTGTTCCCTCGTGAATCGTGTTCCCTCGTGAATCGTGTTCCCTCGTGAATCGTGTTCCCTCGTGAATCGTGTTCCCTCGTGAATCGTGTTCCTCGTGAATCGTGTTCCCTCGTGAATCGTGTTCCCTCGTGAATCGTGTTCCCTCGTGAATCGTGTTCCCTCGTGAATCGTGTTCCCTCGTGAATCGTGTTCCCTCGTGAATCGTGTTCCCTCGTGAATCGTGTTCCCTCGTGCATCGTGTTCCCTCGTGAATCGTGTTCCCTCGTGAATCGTGTTCCCTCGTGAATCGTGTTCCCTCGTGAATCGTGTTCCCTCGTGAATCGTGTTCCCTCGTGAATCGTGTTCCCTCGTGCATCGTGTTCCCTCGTGAATCGTGTTCCCTCGTGAATCGTGTTCCCTCGTGAATCGTGTTCCCTCGTGAATCGTGTTCCCTCGTGAATCGTGTTCCCTCGTGGATCGTGTTCCCTCGTGAATCGTGTTCCCTCGTGCATCGTGTTCCCTCGTGAATCGTGTTCCCTCGTGAATCGTGTTCCCTCGTGAATCGTGTTCCCTCGTGCATCGTGTTCCCTCGTGAATCGTGTTCCCTCGTGAATCGTGTTCCCTCGTGAATCGTGTTCCCTCGTGAATCGTGTTCCCTCGTGAATCGTGTTCCCTCGTGCATCGTGTTCCCTCGTGAATCGTGTTCCCTCGTGAATCGTGTTCCCTCGTGAATCGTGTTCCCTCGTGAATCGTGTTCCTCGTGAATCGTGTTCCCTCGTGAATCGTGTTCCCTCGTGAATCGTGTTCCCTCGTGAATCGTGTTCCCTCGTGCATCGTGTTCCCTCGTGAATCGTGTTCCCTCGTGAATCGTGTTCCCTCGTGAATCGTGTTCCCTCGTGAATCGTGTTCCCTCGTGAATCGTGTTCCTCGTGATCGTGTTCCCTCGTGAATCGTGTTCCCTCGTGCATCGTGTTCCCTCGTGAATCGTGTTCCCTCGTGAATCGTGTTCCCTCGTGAATCGTGTTCCCTCGTGAATCGTGTTCCCTCGTGAATCGTGTTCCCTCGTGCATCGTGTTCCCTCGTGAATCGTGTTCCCTCGTGCATCGTGTTCCCTCGTGAATCGTGTTCCCTCGTGAATCGTGTTCCCTCGTGAATCGTGTTCCCTCGTGAATCGTGTTCCCTCGTGAATCGTGTTCCCTCGTGAATCGTGTTCCCTCGTGAATCGTGTTCCCTCGTGAATCGTGTTCCCTCGTGAATCGTGTTCCCTCGTGCATCGTGTTCCCTCGTGCATCGTGTTTCCTCGTGAATCGTGTTCCCTCGTGAATCGTGTTCCCTCGTGAATCGTGTTCCCTCGTGAATCGTGTTCCCTCGTGAATCGTGTTCCCTCGTGAATCGTGTTCCCTCGTGAATCGTGTTCCCTCGTGAATCGTGTTCCCTCGTGATCGTGTTCCCTCGTGAATCGTGTTCCCTCGTGAATCGTGTTCCCTCGTGAATCGTGTTCCTCGTGATCGTGTTCCCTCGTGAATCGTGTTCCCTCGTGCATCGTGTTCCCTCGTGAATCGTGTTCCCTCGTGAATCGTGTTCCCTCGTGAATCGTGTTCCCTCGTGAATCGTGTTCCCTCGTGAATCGTGTTCCCTCGTGAATCGTGTTCCCTCGTGAATCGTGTTCCCTCGTGAATCGTGTTCCCTCGTGAATCGTGTTCCCTCGTGAATCGTGTTCCCTCGTGAATCGTGTTCCCTCGTGAATCGTGTTCCCTCGTGAATCGTGTTCCCTCGTGAATCGTGTTCCCTCGTGAATCGTGTTCCCTCGTGAATCGTGTTCCCTCGTGAATCGTGTTCCCTCGTGAATCGTGTTCCCTCGTGCATCGTGTTCCCTCGTGCATCGTGTTCCCTCGTGAATCGTGTTCCCTCGTGAATCGTGTTCCCTCGTGAATCGTGTTCCCTCGTGAATCGTGTTCCCTCGTGAATCGTGTTCCCTCGTGAATCGTGTTCCCTCGTGAATCGTGTTCCCTCGTGAATCGTGTTCCCTCGTGAATCGTGTTCCCTCGTGAATCGTGTTCCCTCGTGAATCGTGTTCCCTCGTGAATCGTGTTCCCTCGTGGATCGTGTTCCCTCGTGAATCGTGTTCCCTCGTGCATCGTGTTCCCTCGTGAATCGTGTTCCCTCGTGAATCGTGTTCCCTCGTGAATCGTGTTCCCTCGTGCATCGTGTTCCCTCGTGAATCGTGTTCCCTCGTGAATCGTGTTCCCTCGTGAATCGTGTTCCCTCGTGAATCGTGTTCCCTCGTGAATCGTGTTCCCTCGTGAATCGTGTTCCCTCGTGGTGTTCCCTCGTGAATCGTGTTCCCTCGTGCATCGTGTTCCCTCGTGAATCGTGTTCCCTCGTGAATCGTGTTCCCTCGTGAATCGTGTTCCCTCGTGAATCGTGTTCCCTCGTGAATCGTGTTCCCTCGTGCATCGTGTTCCCTCGTGAATCGTGTTCCCTCGTGAATCGTGTTCCCTCGTGAATCGTGTTCCCTCGTGCATCGTGTTCCCTCGTGAATCGTGTTCCCTCGTGAATCGTGTTCCCTCGTGAATCGTGTTCCCTCGTGAATCGTGTTCCCTCGTGAATCGTGTTCCCTCGTGCATCGTGTTCCCTCGTGAATCGTGTTCCCTCGTGAATCGTGTTCCCTCGTGCATCGTGTTCCCTCGTGCATCGTGTTCCCTCGTGAATCGTGTTCCCTCGTGCATCGTGTTCCCTCGTGAATCGTGTTCCCTCGTGAATCGTGTTCCCTCGTGAATCGTGTTCCCTCGTGCATCGTGTTCCCTCGTGAATCGTGTTCCCTCGTGAATCGTGTTCCCTCGTGAATCGTGTTCCCTCGTGAATCGTGTTCCCTCGTGAATCGTGTTCCCTCGTGAATCGTGTTCCCTCGTGAATCGTGTTCCCTCGTGCATCGTGTTCCCTCGTGAATCGTGTTCCCTCGTGAATCGTGTTCCCTCGTGCATCGTGTTCCCTCGTGAATCGTGTTCCCTCGTGAATCGTGTTCCCTCGTGATCGTGTTCCCTCGTGAATCGTGTTCCCTCGTGAATCGTGTTCCCTCGTGAATCGTGTTCCCTCGTGAATCGTGTTCCCTCGTGAATCGTGTTCCCTCGTGAATCGTGTTCCCTCGTGAATCGTGTTCCCTCGTGAATCGTGTTCCCTCGTGAATCGTGTTCCCTCGTGCATCGTGTTCCCTCGTGAATCGTGTTCCCTCGTGAATCGTGTTCCCTCGTGAATCGTGTTCCCTCGTGAATCGTGTTCCCTCGTGAATCGTGTTCCCTCGTGAATCGTGTTCCCTCGTGAATCGTGTTCCCTCGTGAATCGTGTTCCCTCGTGAATCGTGTTCCCTCGTGCATCGTGTTCCCTCGTGAATCGTGTTCCCTCGTGCATCGTGTTCCCTCGTGAATCGTGTTCCCTCGTGAATCGTGTTCCCTCGTGAATCGTGTTCCCTCGTGAATCGTGTTCCCTCGTGAATCGTGTTCCCTCGTGAATCGTGTTCCCTCGTGCATCGTGTTCCCTCGTGAATCGTGTTCCCTCGTGAATCGTGTTCCCTCGTGAATCGTGTTCCCTCGTGAATCGTGTTCCCTCGTGAATCGTGTTCCCTCGTGAATCGTGTTCCCTCGTGAATCGTGTTCCCTCGTGAATCGTGTTCCCTCGTGAATCGTGTTCCCTCGTGAATCGTGTTCCCTCGTGAATCGTGTTCCCTCGTGAATCGTGTTCCCTCGTGCATCGTGTTCCCTCGTGAATCGTGTTCCCTCGTGAATCGTGTTCCCTCGTGAATCGTGTTCCCTCGTGAATCGTGTTCCCTCGTGAATCGTGTTCCCTCGTGAATCGTGTTCCCTCGTGAATCGTGTTCCCTCGTGAATCGTGTTCCCTCGTGAATCGTGTTCCCTCGTGAATCGTGTTCCTCGTGCATCGTGTTCCCTCGTGAATCGTGTTCCCTCGTGCATCGTGTTCCCTCGTGAATCGTGTTCCCTCGTGAATCGTGTTCCCTCGTGAATCGTGTTCCCTCGTGAATCGTGTTCCCTCGTGAATCGTGTTCCCTCGTGAATCGTGTTCCCTCGTGAATCGTGTTCCCTCGTGAATCGTGTTCCCTCGTGAATCGTGTTCCCTCGTGAATCGTGTTCCCTCGTGAATCGTGTTCCCTCGTGAATCGTGTTCCCTCGTGAATCGTGTTCCCTCGTGAATCGTGTTCCCTCGTGATCGTGTTCCCTCGTGAATCGTGTTCCCTCGTGAATCGTGTTCCCTCGTGAATCGTGTTCCCTCGTGAATCGTGTTCCCTCGTGAATCGTGTTCCCTCGTGAATCGTGTTCCCTCGTGAATCGTGTTCCCTCGTGATCGTGTTCCCTCGTGAATCGTGTTCCCTCGTGAATCGTGTTCCCTCGTGAATCGTGTTCCCTCGTGCATCGTGTTCCCTCGTGCATCGTGTTCCCTCGTGAATCGTGTTCCCTCGTGAATCGTGTTCCCTCGTGAATCGTGTTCCCTCGTGAATCGTGTTCCCTCGTGAATCGTGTTCCCTCGTGAATCGTGTTCCCTCGTGCATCGTGTTCCCTCGTGAATCGTGTTCCCTCGTGAATCGTGTTCCCTCGTGAATCGTGTTCCCTCGTGAATCGTGTTCCCTCGTGAATCGTGTTCCCTCGTGATCGTGTTCCCTCGTGAATCGTGTTCCCTCGTGATCGTGTTCCCTCGTGAATCGTGTTCCCTCGTGAATCGTGTTCCCTCGTGAATCGTGTTCCCTCGTGAATCGTGTTCCCTCGTGAATCGTGTTCCCTCGTGAATCGTGTTCCCTCGTGAATCGTGTTCCCTCGTGAATCGTGTTCCCTCGTGAATCGTGTTCCCTCGTGAATCGTGTTCCCTCGTGAATCGTGTTCCCTCGTGAATCGTGTTCCCTCGTGCATCGTGTTCCCTCGTGAATCGTGTTCCCTCGTGAATCGTGTTCCCTCGTGAATCGTGTTCCCTCGTGAATCGTGTTCCTCGTGAATCGTGTTCCCTCGTGCATCGTGTTCCCTCGTGCATCGTGTTCCCTCGTGAATCGTGTTCCCTCGTGAATCGTGTTCCCTCGTGAATCGTGTTCCCTCGTGAATCGTGTTCCCTCGTGAATCGTGTTCCCTCGTGAATCGTGTTCCCTCGTGAATCGTGTTCCCTCGTGAATCGTGTTCCCTCGTGATCGTGTTCCTCGTGAATCGTGTTCCCTCGTGAATCGTGTTCCCTCGTGAATCGTGTTCCCTCGTGGATCGTGTTCCCTCGTGAATCGTGTTCCCTCGTGAATCGTGTTCCCTCGTGAATCGTGTTCCCTCGTGAATCGTGTTCCCTCGTGAATCGTGTTCCCTCGTGCATCGTGTTCCCTCGTGAATCGTGTTCCCTCGTGAATCGTGTTCCCTCGTGAATCGTGTTCCCTCGTGAATCGTGTTCCCTCGTGAATCGTGTTCCCTCGTGAATCGTGTTCCCTCGTGAATCGTGTTCCCTCGTGAATCGTGTTCCCTCGTGCATCGTGTTCCCTCGTGAATCGTGTTTCCTCGTGAATCGTGTTCCCTCGTGAATCGTGTTCCCTCGTGAATCGTGTTCCCTCGTGAATCGTGTTCCCTCGTGCATCGTGTTCCCTCGTGAATCGTGTTCCCTCGTGAATCGTGTTCCCTCGTGAATCGTGTTCCCTCGTGAATCGTGTTCCCTCGTGAATCGTGTTCCCTCGTGAATCGTGTTCCCTCGTGCATCGTGTTCCCTCGTGAATCGTGTTCCCTCGTGAATCGTGTTCCCTCGTGAATCGTGTTCCCTCGTGAATCGTGTTCCCTCGTGAATCGTGTTCCCTCGTGAATCGTGTTCCCTCGTGAATCGTGTTCCCTCGTGAATCGTGTTCCCTCGTGCATCGTGTTCCCTCGTGAATCGTGTTCCCTCGTGAATCGTGTTCCCTCGTGAATCGTGTTCCCTCGTGAATCGTGTTCCCTCGTGAATCGTGTTCCCTCGTGAATCGTGTTCCCTCGTGAATCGTGTTCCCTCGTGAATCGTGTTCCCTCGTGAATCGTGTTCCCTCGTGAATCGTGTTCCCTCGTGAATCGTGTTCCCTCGTGCATCGTGTTCCCTCGTGAATCGTGTTCCCTCGTGAATCGTGTTCCCTCGTGAATCGTGTTCCCTCGTGAATCGTGTTCCCTCGTGAATCGTGTTCCCTCGTGAATCGTGTTCCCTCGTGAATCGTGTTCCCTCGTGAATCGTGTTCCCTCGTGCATCGTGTTCCCTCGTGAATCGTGTTCCCTCGTGAATCGTGTTCCCTCGTGAATCGTGTTCCCTCGTGAATCGTGTTCCCTCGTGAATCGTGTTCCCTCGTGAATCGTGTTCCCTCGTGAATCGTGTTCCCTCGTGAATCGTGTTCCCTCGTGAATCGTGTTCCCTCGTGAATCGTGTTCCCTCGTGAATCGTGTTCCCTCGTGAATCGTGTTCCCTCGTGAATCGTGTTCCCTCGTGAATCGTGTTCCCTCGTGAATCGTGTTCCCTCGTGAATCGTGTTCCCTCGTGGCATCGTGTTCCCTCGTGAATGTGTTCCCTCGTGCATCGTGTTCCCTCGTGCGTGTTCCCTCGTGAATCGTGTTCCTCGTGCATCGTGTTCCCTCGTGAATCGTTGTGTTCCCTCGTGAATTCGTGTTCCCTCCGTGAATCGTGTTCCCTTCGTGAATCGTGTTCCTCGTGAATCGTTGTTCCCTGGCGTGCATCGTGTTCCCTCGTGAATCGTGTTCCTCGTGAATCGTGTTCCCGTGAATCGTGTTCCTCGTGATCGTGTTCCCTCGTGAATCGTGTTCCCTCGTGAATCGTGTTCCCTCTCGTGATCGTGTTCCCTCGTGAATCGTGTTCCCTCGTGAATCGTGTTCCCTCGTGAATCGTGTTCCCTCGTGCATCGTGTTCCCTCGTGAATCGTGTTCCCTCGTGAATCGTGTTCCCTCGTGAATCGTGTTCCCTCGTGAATCGTGTTCCCTCGTGAATCGTGTTCATCTCGTGATCGTGTTCCCTCGTGAATCGTGTTCCCTCGTGAATCGTGTTCCCTCGTGAATCGTGTTCCCTCGTGAATCGTGTTCCCTCGTGAATCGTGTTCCCTCGTGCAATCGTGTTCCCTCGTGCATCGTGTTCCCTCGTGAATCGTGTTCCCTCGTGCATCGTGTTCCCTTGTGAATCGTGTTCCCTCGTGAATCGTGTTCCCTCGTGAATCGTGTTCCCTCGTGCATCGTGTTCCCTCGTGAATCGTGTTCCCTCGTGAATCGTGTTCCCCTCGTGAATCGTGTTCCCTCGTGAATCGTGTTCCCCTCGTGAATCGTGTTCCCTCGTGAATCGTGTTCCCTCGTGCATCGTGTTCCTCGTGATCGTGTTCCCTCGTGAATCGTGTTCCCTCGTGAATCGTGTTCCCTCGGATCGTGATCGTGTTCCCTCGTGAATCGTGTTCCCTTCTCGTGCATCGTGTTCCCTCGTGAATCGTGTTCCCTCGTGAATCGTGTTCCCTCGTGCATCGTGTTCCCTCGTGAATCGTGTTCCCTCGTGAATCGTGTTCCCTCGTGCATCGTGTTCCCTCGTGCATCGTGTTCCCTCGTGAATCGTGTTCCTCGTGCATCGTGTTCCCTCGTGAATCGTGTTCCCTCGTGATCGTGTTCCCCTCGTGAATCGTGTTCCCTCGTGCATCGTGTTCCCTCGTGAATCGTGTTCCCTCGTGAATCGTGTTCCCTCGTGAATCGTGTTCCCTCGTGAATCGTGTTCCCTCGTGAATCGTGTTCCCTCGTGAATCGTGTTCCTCGTGCATCGTGTTCCCTCGTGAATCGTGTTCCCTCGTGAATCGTGTTCCCTCGTGAATCGTGTTCCCTCGTGAATCGTGTTCCCTCGTGAATCGTGTTCCCTCGTGAATCGTGTTCCCTCGTGCATCGTGTTCCTCGTGAATCGTGTTCCCTCGTGAATCGTGTTCCCTCGTGCATCGTGTTCCCTCGTGCATCGTGTTTCCCTCGTGAATCGTGTTCCCTCGTGCATCGTGTTCCCTCGTGAATCGTGTTCCCTCGTGAATCGTGTTCCCTCGTGAATCGTGTTCCCTCGTGAATCGTGTTCCCTCGTGAATCGTGTTCCCTCGTGAATCGTGTTCCCTCGTGAATCGTGTTCCCTCGTGCATCGTGTTCCCTCGTGAATCGTGTTCCCTCGTGAATCGTGTTCCCTCGTGAATCGTGTTCCCTCGTGAATCGTGTTCCCTCGTGAATCGTGTTCCCTCGTGAATCGTGTTCCCTCGTGAATCGTGTTCCCTCGTGGATCGTGTTCCCTCGTGGATCGTGTTCCCTCGTGAATCGTGTTCCCTCGTGAATCGTGTTCCCTCGTGCATCGTGTTCCCCCGCACTCCCAACTCCTCCCCACCCCGGGCTGCTCTGCCTGTCCCAGGTGCCTCAACCCCTCCTCGCCCCTCTGCACCATGCGCCACACAACCATGTCCGTTTCGCCATCCCCTTTCCTCTTCGGCTCCCAACCCCTGCAGGATATCCCCTATTCCGGCTGCTCCAGCTGGCCCAGGTGCATGAATTCCTCATCCCCCTCTGCGCCGCGCATCGCATCACAACAGCCTTCCTGCCCCCCGCCCCCTGTTCCACTCCACCAGGGCCTCCCCTATTCCGGCTGCGCTGGCTGCCCCAGGAGCGTCAACTCCTCCTCCCCTCTCTGCGCCATGCGCCGCATCACCATGGCCTTCCTGCACGACCCGGAAGTTTCCTTCGCCATCGCCGCCCGCACCGCCGCCCATGTCAGCACGGTCACCGACTACTTCAGCGAGCTGCGCCGCCCGCTCGTCCTCAGAGCCAGCCAATTGCAGCTCGACACGTGTCAGGGGTCGAAGGGGAGCGACGGTGGGGGGAGGGGAGAGGGTGTGGTGGAAGGAGAGGGAGTGAGAAGGGAGTTGGCGGAGGGTAGGAGAGACGGAGGGGGAGGGGGGGGAGGCGAGGGGAGGATGAGCTCTAGCATCAAGTGCGCTCAGCTGCAGGTGCGTGCACACTGTTGCATGCATGTATGCGGTGAGTGCATACCATGTATGCATGCTTGCACGCCATGTATGCAAGAGTGCATGCCATGTACGCAAGGGTGCATGCCAGCCTGTAATGTATGCGTGAGTGCATGCACGCTATGGATGTGTGAGTGCATGTATGTATGCAAGAGTTGTGCATGCATAAGTGCAGGTGTGTATTTGCGATTGCAATGCATACATGTTGTTGGTGATTGCGGCTTAGTTGTACATGTGTATGCCGATATACACATTCACGTCTATACAAGATTCCCAGAATACATTGGTAAGCCATACACAGCTGTGTTGCCCATCCACACACTCAGTCCACACATTGCCAACTTCCTTCCACGCCTTCGTTCCTTGTCCTCCCTCTGCTGGGCTCCCAGCGCCACCGCCCTCCCTTCCTCTCAACCCGGGCAACAAGCATGCATCACTCGTGCCATCATGCCCATCAGCACCTGCTTCAGTGACCCTCGTCTCTCTTATCTCTCCGTCGTTACTTCTCTTCCCCCCCAGGCCCCCACTTCCTACAATCGCATATCCCTCTGCCCATGCTCCTCTCCCCCGCCACCCCTCTCCCCCCCTCTCTTCCCCCACCAACAGGCAGCGGACCTCTTGGCTCTGAGCTGCGCCCACGTCATGGCGCCCAGCCACCGCTGCTCCATTCAGCCTCTCCTCGCTTGTTCCTGCAATTCCCCCTGCCCTCTCCCCCCCGTCCAACCAGGCAGCGGAGCTGTTCGCCCTCAGCTTCGCGCGTGCCATCGTGCCGATCCACCGCTGGTCCATCGAGTCGCGCTTCATTCTCGCGCAGGGCGCCCTGCGCTCCAAGGCCTTCCAGGTGGCTCTCGTGCCCTCTTCGTGCCCCCTTCCAGGTGGCTCTCGTGCCCTCTTCGTGCCCCCTTTCAGGTGGCTGTCGTGCCCTCTTCGTGCCCTCTTCCAGGTGGCTCCCTTTCTTGTTGCAAAGCTTTCCACCCGCCGCGCCGCCCTGCTGCGCATTCCCTGGTGACTTTTGAGTCGACTCAAAAGGCATTCCCTGCGGCCATTCCTGCTTCCATTCCTGCTTCCACTCTTGCTCCGTCTCATGCCCACTTCCTTTCGCCTTTTCGCGTCTTGGTGACTAACGACCTCTACTTTCCTCCTCCCTTCCCAAGTTGCTGCCCGTCACTCATGCCGCCCATCCCTATGCCGCCCATCACTATGCCGCCCATCACTATGCCGCCCATCCCTATGCCGCCCATCACTATGCCGCCCATCACTATGCCGCCCATCACTATGCCACCTATCACTGTGCCGCCCATAGCCACGCCTTCTGCTACTCCAGGCGCTGCCCTCCACATGCGAGGCTGCGAGGCTGCCGCCTATCACTGCCCTGCCCCGCTGCTGCCAGAATCCGAATTCAGTATGCTCCCACTCCTCCCCACTCCTCACTACTCCTCACCACTCCTCGCCACTCCTCATTGCCCCTCAGGTGCTGCCCTCCATCTGCGAGGCTGAGAGGCTGCCGCCCATCATTCGCCACCGGTGGTCGTGGTTCACCCAGGTGGAAGGTGAGCAGAGCAGCATCATGCATGAGGAGCGCAGAGGCGAATGCACACGTGGTTGGTGCAAAGAGAACCATCCATAGCCTCCTATGCATGTGCAAGGTGCGCCCACACCTGGATTCACCTCGCTGCATAGGCGGATCGCGAGGTGATGCTGCACCCTTTCCGCCTTTCCTCCCTTCCCCCGTTTCTCCATCCCTCCCTCCCTCTCGCCCTTTCCTGGTGAGCTAATCACTTAGCAAATTCTCTTGTGGGGCGTGGCGCCGCTCGTTGAGCCGTTAGGTTCCCACAACTTCTGCACCCCACAGCTTCCCCGGGTTCCTCCCGTCTCAATCGTTCTCCCCGGAGAAGCTCAAGCTAGTGCTCTCGAGAGATGGTGCCCACCTCGTGGCTCATGTGGCTGCCGGCCTGAACCAGGCCCCACTCCCCTCTCACGCATCATCCCTCCACTCATCCCCTACTCGAATGGTCCCTTCTCATCCACCAGGGAAGCTCAAGCTAATGGTGTGCACCATGCCCATGGTGCACCATGCCAAAGGTGCGCCGTGCCCAAGGTGGCAGCCCGCACTTGGCTCATGTGCCGGTCATGGCTCAGCCTCTTCCCCCCCCGTGCCATCGCCCTCCTCTTCCCCCCCCGTGCCATCGCCCTCCTCTTCCCCCCCCGTGCCATCGCCCTCCTCTTCCCCCCCGTGCCATCGCCCTCCTCTTCCCCCCGTGCCATCGCCCTCCTCTTCCCCCCCCGTGCCATCGCCCTCCTCTTCCCCCCCGTGCCATCCCCCCTCTTTCCCCCCCCATCCCCCCTCCCCCCCCCCCCCCCCCCCCCGTGCCATCGCCCTCCCTCTTCCCCCCCCGTGCCATCGCCCTCCTCTTCCCCCCCGTCCATCGCCCTCCTCTTCCCCCCCGTGCCATCGCCCTCCTCTTCCCCCCCGTGCCATCGCCCCCTCCTCTTCCCCCCCCCGTGCCATCGCCCTCCTCTTCCCCCCCCGTGCCATCGCCCTCCTCTTCCCCCCCCGTGCCATCGCCCTCCTCTTCCCCCCCGTGCCATCGCCCTCCTCTTCCCCCCGTGCCATCGCCCTCCTCTTCCCCCCGTGCCATCGCCCTCCTCTTCCCCCCCCGTGCCATCGCCCTCCTCTTCCCCCCCGTGCCATCGCCCTCCTCTTCCCCCCCGTGCCATCGCCCTCCTCTTCCCCCCCGTGCCATCGCCCTCCTCTTCCCCCCCGTGCCATCGCCCTCCTCTTCCCCCCCCGTGCCATCGCCCTCCTCTTCCCCCCCGTGCCATCGCCCTCCTCTTCCCCCCCCGTGCCATCGCCCTCCTCTTCCCCCCCGTGCCATCGCCCTCCTCTTCCCCCCCGTGCCATCGCCCTCCTCTTCCCCCCCGTGCCATCGCCCTCCTCTTCCCCCCCGTGCCATCGCCCTCCTCTTCCCCCCCGTGCCATCGCCCCTCCTCTTCCCCCCCCGTGCCATCGCCCTCCTCTTCCCCCCCGTGCCATCGCCCTCCTCTTCCCCCCCCGTGCCATCGCCCTCCTCTTCCCCCCCCGTGCCATCGCCCTCCTCTTTCCCCCCCCGTGCCATCGCCCTCCTCTTCCCCCCCGTGCCATCGCCCTCCTCTTCCCCCCCCTGCCATCGCCTCCTTTCCCCCCCCGTGCCATCGCCCTCCTCTTCCCCCCTCGTGCCATCGCCCTCCTCTTCCCCCCCGTGCCATCGCCCCTCTTTCCCCCGGCCATCGCCCTCCTCTTCCCCCCCGTGCCCATCGCCCCCTCTTCCCCCCCCGTGCCATCGCCTCCTCTTCCCCCCCCGTGCCAATCGCCCTCCTCTTCCCCCCCCGTGCCATCGCCCTCCTCTTCCCCCCCCGTGCCATCGCCCTCCTCTTCCCCCCGGTGCCATCGCCTCTCTCCTTCCCCCCGGCCATCGCCTCCTCTTCCCCCCCCGGCCATCCGGCCCTCCCTCTTCCCCCCCCGTGCCATCGCCCTCCTCTTCCCCCCCCGTGCCATCGCCCTCCTCTTCCCCCCCCGTGCCATCGCCCTCCTCTTCCCCCCGTGCCATCCCCCCCCGTGCCATCGCCCTCCTCTTCCCCCCCGTGCCATCGCCCTCCTCTTCCCCCCCGTGCCATCGCCCTCCTCTTCCCCCGTGCCATCGCCCTCCTCTTCCCCCCCGTGCATCGCCCTCCTCTTCCCCCCCCGTGCCATCGCCCTCCTCTTCCCCCCCCGTGCAATCGCCCTCCTCTTCCCCCCCCGTGCCATCGCCCTCCTCTTCCCCCCCGGCCACGCCCTCCTCTTCCCCCCCCGTGCCATCGCCCTCCTCTTCCCCCCCCGTGCCATCGCCCTCCTCTTCCCCCCCGTGCCATCGCCCTCCTCTTCCCCCCGTGCCATCGCCCTCCTCTTCCCCCCCGTGCCATCGCCCTCCTCTTCCCCCCCGTGCCATCGCCCCTCCCTCTTCCCCCCCGTGCCATCGCCCTCCTCTTCCCCCCCCGTGCCATCGCCTCCTCTTCCCCCCCGTGCCATCGCCCCTCTCTTCCCCCCCCGTGCCATCGCCCTCCTCTTCCCCCCCCGTGCCATCGCCCTCCTGCCCTCCTCTTCCCCCCCGTGCCATCGCCCTCCTCTTCCCCCCCCGTGCCATCGCCCTCCTCTTCCCCCCCGTGCCATCGCCCTCCTCTTCCCCCCCCGTGCCATCGCCCTCCTCTTCCCCCCCGTGCCATCGCCCTCTCTTCCCCCCCCGTGCCATCACCCTCTTGTCCCCCCCGTGCCATCACCCTCTTGTCCCCCCCGTGCCATCGCCCTCTTGTCCCCCCCGTGCCATCGCCCTCCTCTTCCCCCCCCGTGCCATCGCCCTCTTCCCCCCCCGTGCCATCGCCCTCCTCTTCCCCCCCCGTGCCATCGCCCTCCTCTTCCCCCCCCGTGCCATCGCCCTCCTCTTCCCCCCCCGTGCCATCGCCCTCCTCTTCCCCCCGTGCCATCGCCCTCCTCTTCCCCCCGTGCCATCGCCCTCCTCTTCCCCCCGTGCCATCGCCCTCCTCTTCCCCCCCCGTGCCATCGCCCTCCTCTTCCCCCCCCGTGCCATCGCCCTCCTCTTCCCCCCCCGTGCCATCGCCCTCCTCTTCCCCCCCGTGCCATCGCCCTCCTCTTCCCCCCCCGTGCCATCGCCCTCCTCTTCCCCCCCGTGCCATCGCCCTCCTCTTCCCCCCCCGTGCCATCGCCCTCCTCTTCCCCCCCCGTGCCATCGCCCTCCTCTTCCCCCCGTGCCATCGCCCTCCTCTTCCCCCTCCATCGCCCCCTTCCCCGTGCCATCGCCCTCCTCTTCCCCCCCCGTGCCATCGCCCTCCTCTTCCCCCCCGTGCCATCGCCCTCCTCTTCCCCCCCGTGCCATCGCCCTCCTCTTCCCCCCCCGTGCCATCGCCCTCCTCTTCCCCCCCCGTGCCATCGCCCTCCTCTTCCCCCCCGTGCCATCGCCCTCCTCTTCCCCCCCCGTGCAATCGCCCTCCTCTTCCCCCCCCGTGCCATCGCCCTCCTCTTCCCCCCCCCCCCCCCCGTGCCATCGCCCTCCTCTTCCCCCCCCGTGCCATCGCCCTCCTCTTCCCCCCCCGTGCCATCGCCCTCCTCTTCCCCCCCCGTGCCATCGCCCTCCTCTTCCCCCCCGTGCCATCGCCCTCCTCTTCCCCCCGTGCCATCGCCCTCCTCTTCCCCCCGTGCCATCGCCCTCCTCTTCCCCCCCCGTGCCATCGCCCTCCTCTTCCCCCCGTGCCATCGCCCTCCTCTTCCCCCCGTGCCATCGCCCTCCTCTTCCCCCCCCGTGCCATCGCCCTCCTCTTCCCCCCCCGTGCAATCGCCCTCCTCTTCCCCCCCCGTGCCATCGCCCTCCTCTTCCCCCCCCGTGCCATCGCCCTCCTCTTCCCCCCCCGTGCCATCGCCCTCCTCTTCCCCCCGTGCCATCGCCCTCCTCTTCCCCCCCCGTGCCATCGCCCTCCTCTTCCCCCCCCGTGCCATCGCCCTCCTCTTCCCCCCGTGCCATCGCCCTCCTCTTCCCCCCCCGTGCCATCGCCCTCCTCTTCCCCCCGTGCCATCGCCCTCTTGTCCCCCCCGTGCCATCACCCTCTTGTCCCCCCCGTGCCATCACCCTCTTGTCCCCCCCGTGCCATCGCCCTCTTGTCCCCCCCGTGCCATCGCCCTCTTGTCCCCCCCGTGCCATCACCCTCTTGTCCCCCCCGTGCCATCACCCTCTTGTTCCCCCCGTGCGGCCCACCAGAGAAGCTGAAGCTGGTGGTGTGCACCATGCCCAAGGTGGCGGCCAACTCGTGGCTCATGTGGCTGCGCGCCAAGCTGGGGCAGCCCAACCCGAATGACCCCATCCTGGCGCTCGATGTGGACAAGGCCGGTTGGCACCTGCTGGGTCGCCACTTCACAGAGAAGGAGGCGGTAGGTGCTTCTCTTAAGCTGCAAGCACAGCTTGTTTGGGCTTTTGGCATCAGCTCGTGTGGTGGCAGCGAGTTCTGATTCTTTCCCGTTGGACAGCATAAGTGAGCCACCTCAGAGTATATACACACGGACGAGTCTTAACTCTATAAGTTGGCCGCATCCCACAGCGTTTCCTTCTCCTCGCATTCCCACTTCCTCGCTTCCCCATGGCTGTCCAGTCATTTCCATCTCTCAATGCGCACTCAATACCCTCTTCCCCTGTCACAGCCCATGTCCTCACACCTCCTCCCCTCCAACCCCACCACCACCAGGTCCGGCTGGACACTCACCCGGACTTCTCGCGCCTCACCTGTGTGCCATCCCCAATGCTCAAAGCCCACGATGCTTCTTATGCCGTTCCTGCATCCATTCCTCCCTTCCCCTCGCCCCTCCCCCTCAGGTGTGGCTGGTCACCCGCCCGCACTTGTTCCGCTTCACCGGTGTGTGCACCTAGCATCTTCCTCCTCCCTTCCTTTGCCCCATCACGACCCACCTCCTCACACCACCTCCCTCTCTCCCCCCCCCCCTTCCTCCCTTTCAGGTGCGGCTGGTGACCCGCCCGGACTTCTTCCGCTTCACCTTTGTGCGCAACCCCTTCTCGCGCGCCCTCTCCGCCTACTCCAACAAGCTCGTGGTGTCCGACACCCCCAACAACAAGACCGGGCCTGGCTCCCGCGCCTACTGGAACGAGGTGAGAGATGGCGATCTTCCCCCACGCCCTCTCCGCCCACTAGAAGAAGCTCGTCATATCCGTCGCACCCAACAATAAGGCAGAGCTAGGTTCTGGCGCTTACTGGAATGAGGTGAGAGGCGGTGCTCTGCTAATTACTTCCCTCATGCCCTCTCTGCCCTCTCTGCCCTCTCTACCCTCTCTGCCCTCTCTGCCCTCTCTGCCCTCTCTGCCCTCTCTGCCCTCTCTTTCCCTCTCTGCCCTCTCTGCCCTCTCTGCCCTCTCTGCCCTCTCTGCCCTCTCTGCCCTCTCTGCCCTCTCTGCCCTTTCTGCCCTCTCTGCCCTCTCTGCCCTCTCTGCCTTCTCCATGCTCCCTACTGTAAGACTTGGCCCTGCTCTCGTGCTTAGAATGAGGTGAGGGACGTTGGAATGAGGAGCGGTGTGAGGGAATTGTTGGAATACGAGATGAGCATATTTCTGCAATTATATAGAGCGATTGAGTAGGACGAACCCTACAAGTTCTCGCAGTTGCTGCAATTGTCCAGCGTGAGCCTGCAAGCGTCCATTGCTCAGAGCTTCTCCATCCTTGCTCTGGCTCAGCGATGCTTGCTCTGTTAAAAAGGAGTCAACAAGAGTTTCGGTCAAATATCTGCCGACGAAAAATAAAACTGGACGCGTATACAACTTCCAAAGCACACTGCACACATATGCTTCCACACACACACTCCACTTTGCAAGACAGAAATGTAAGATTGGAGACAGGCAGAAAGATTACATAGGAAAACATCTCAACACACGAATCAGGAGATCTGCGCTCAATGAGGGGGGTTGATTGGCATAAGGCGAGACATGTTACAAGGACAACATTGGCAAATATGTTTTGTACCCAAGTCCCTCCCCCCACCCAAGTCTCCCCCCGTCCTTTCCCCTTCCCCCTTCTCCCCAAACCGCCACGCACTGGCAGCGGTTCTTCCGGTTCATCAAGCCGCAGTTCGACCTGCTGAAGGACGAGGACGACCTCGTGTCGTTCCCCGACTTCATGCGCCTCGTCGCCATGCTCAAGAAGAACTACCGCTGGAAGATGGACCGCCACATCGCGCCCCAGGTGGGTCCCGGGCGATTTTACCCACCATGTAGCGTGTGTATCATGTGCGGCCTGCAGTACAGCTTTGGGGTCGGTCACCATGCTCAAGAAGTACTCCTCCTGGAAGATGGACCGCCACATGCGCCTCAGGTGGGTTTGGAACGGCAGGTGGGACGGTAACCATGTTGTTGCAGGCGCGCGAAGAGCCAATGCCTCGTCACCATGCTCAAGTAGAACTACCGATGGAAGATGGACCACCGCATGCGCCTCAGGGGGGTTCCAGGTGAATTCCCATGTAGGTCTTATGCCCATGCCTTTTCCATCCTCAAGAAAAAAAAATATTGCTGGAAGACGGGCCACCACATCGGTCCTGGGGTGGGTTTCAGGTGAATCCTCAGGTTGATGTTGTGGTGGTTCAAGAGATACTTTTGGTGGAAGATGGAGTGTCATATTCCACCTCAGCTGGGTTCACGTGTGGCTTCTCAGGTGGGTTCACGCGAGGCTTCTCAGGTGGATTCACGTGTGGCTTCTCAGGTGGGTTCACGTGTGGCTTGTGGGTTCACGTGTGGCTTCTCAGGTGGGTTCACGTGTAGCTTCTCAGGTGGGTTCACGTGTGGCTTCTCAGGTGGGTTCACGTGTGGCTTCTCAGGTGGGTTCACGTGTGGCTTCTCAGGTGGGTTCACGTGTGGCTTCTCAGGTGGGTTCACGTGTGGCTTCTCAGGTGGGTTCACGTGTGGCTTCTCAGGTGGGTTCACGTGTGGCTTCTCAGGTGGGTTCACATGTGGCTTCTCAGGTGGGTTCACGTGTGGCTTGTGGGTTCACGTGTGGCTTCTCAGGTGGGTTCATGTGTGGCTTCTCAGGTGGGTTCACGTGTGGCTTCTCAGGTGGGTTCACGTGTGGCTTCTCAGGTGGGTTCACATGTGGCTTCTCAGGTGGGTTCACGTGTGGCTTGCGGGTTCACGTGTGGCTTCTCAGGTGGGTTCACGTGTGGCTTCTCAGGTGGGTTCACGTGTGGCTTCTCAGGTGGGTTCACGTGTGGCTTCTCAGGTGGGTTCACGTGTGGCTTCTCAGGTGGGTTCACATGTGGCTTCTCAGGTGGGTTCACGTGTGGCTTGTGGGTTCACTTGTGGCTTCTCAGGTGGGTTCACGTGTGGCTTCTCAGGTGGGTTCACGTGTGGCTTCTCAGGTGGGTTCACGTGTGGCTTCTCAGGTGGGTTCACGTGTGGCTTCTCAGGTGGGTTCACATGTGGCTTCTCAGGTGGGTTCACGTGTGGCTTCTCAGGTGGGTTCACGTGTGGCTTCTCAGGTGGGTTCACGTGTGGCTTCTCAGGTGGGTTCACATGTGGCTTCTCAGGTGGGTTCACGTGTGGCTTGTGGGTTCACGTGTGGCTTCTCAGGTGGGTTCACATGTGGCTTCTCAGGTGGGTTCACTTGTGGCTTCTCAGATGGGTTCCTGTTGACCCCTGGGCCGTACAGCAGGTGGAGGTTGATCGCAGGCGATCGCAGGAACTTAGTCAGGAGGGTGTCATTGGGGGAATGGGGTTCGATTCAGTGTTAGACTGATGTCATAACAGGTAGGAGGCACATAAACAATAATAATGATAATAAAAAGCATGTTCGCCATTTTCCGTTCCCTGCTCCTCTGCTTCACTTGTGCTTCCTACTTCTAACATTTGCATACAGCAAGAAATCATTGGGAGACTTTTTTCTCTTGCCCGTTGTGCTGCCTCTCTTGCCTCTGCTGCTGGCAGGTGGACGTGTGCTTCATGCAGATGATCAAGTATGACTTTGTGGGGCGGTTTGAGAATCTGGAGGAGGATGCCAAGTATGTGGTGAACCGATTCGGAGGCGACCACCTCGACATCTTCAACTTCGGGGTCAATGCGCATCAGACCAAGGCGGACAGCAAACTCGTCAAGAAATACACCAAGGTGAGATTCGGTGTAGCTGTTGCACTATCAGGAGCACTGTCGTTCGCACTGGAGTCAGCATAGAGCATATTGCCAATCCGTATTCGTGATTTGAGCAGTCTATTCACTTGCACCTTGTGCAGGATGCATACGAGCTTGTGAAGGAGGTTTATGCCCAAGACTTCTTCATCCCCCTCAATAATATCACACAAACTGCACCGCCAGTCTTATCACAAATATTTGAGGGTTGATTCGTCTACTTGTTTCACATGCCGTGCGTAAGCTAGCCAGGTGCTCACAACACCCAAAATTTCGAGTTAGTTAACCGCCTGTAAGTCAGTCATTGTTATTTAAATGGTTGGGGCGCAACAAACATCAATTGCATCACATGTTTGTATCCATCACGTTTTTTCTGCAATGAAAGTTTTTTGATATTGAATGCTAAGACTGGCTAATTAGTCGTACTAGCGTGAAATACGAGGGTGGAACAAATGTACTAGTGCTATAGACAAAAGACTTGGTTGTTAATTTCGTACGCTTCATGTCAAACCTATCATAATCTGTACACCCGTTATTTGTACGTCAGCGGTCCCGAACGCGTACCGAGGACGCGTGAGGTGCAAGAAACCAGCGACTGAAGCGACATGCTGTGTGGCGCCTTCGTTCGTTGATCCACGAGACTCCCCCGAACAAGTGTTCCCCCGTAGCAGGCGCCCGTCTTCGATTTCCCATAGCATATCGTGGCCGTTTATTTTCATGTCTCATTGCACGCTACCTCTGCATGCCGTCCGATCAGGGGTGGCAAACCCTACAGTGCTTGGCCATTTCGACCACTTCAGTTCGCTGTGTGGCGTCACGCTCCTGCGGAGCCCACCTGCAAGGAAACTCACCACCGCCAAACCCCCCCGACCCCCACACAGACTGTCCCCTCTCCCCTCCCGCTCTCCGCTTCCTTCTCTTCCGCACGCACTCCACGAATGCCCTTCCTCCTGAGCCCCCACCCCCCCCACTCCCCCCCCCCACCAGATCTCCTCCCTCCTGCTCATCCTCTTCCTGCTTGCTCTTCCCCATTCTCCCCTCGAGGAGCATCCCACCCGCTCCGCCCAAGCAGCAGCTTCTCCTACAGTTTTCTTTAGCGCAGGAACTATCAAAACCAGCATATCCTATCATTTCGAGGTACTATTGTAGACCTCGAATCTGTACAGCTAGCTTGCCGGAGGACTCGAATGTTCCTTGCTCCCCACGTAGACTTCTACCTTCACTCGAGAATCGAGTTTCTTTTGAGCCTTTTTTTTCTCGATTGTTTTTACAGCTCATCGATTTGATCTGTTTTTCCCCAGAGCGCACTCGTCCTTTTGTAGTTCTGTGAAGTTCCAGCAGCTGGATTCAGCATCACTCGAAAAGAGCTTTAAAAAAAAAAAAAACGAATAAAGATGCCGCCGTTTCGTTTACCGCCGGGGTTCCGGTTCCACCCGACGGACGAGGAGCTCCTCGGGTACTACCTGCAGCGCAAGGTCGACAACCGCCTCGCGGATGACGGCCTGATAGCCGAAATCGACATTCTTAAATGCGAGCCGTGGGACCTTCCCAGCCAGTCGTGCCTGGAGGCTGGCGAGTGGTACTTCTTCTGCGCGCGCGACAAGAAATACCCGCACGGGTCGCGGGCGAATCGCGCCACGGCGATGGGGTATTGGAAGTCCACGGGCAAGGATAAGAGCATCCGGAGTTCGCGCACGACGAGGCAGATCGGGATTAAGAAGACGCTCGTGTTCTACCGCGGACGAGCGCCACGTGGCGAGCGGACGGACTGGGTGATGCATGAATACCGGCTCGAGTCCGAGCCGCGGTCCCGCTCCGTGCCTGCTGCGGACTACGTGCTGTGCCGCGTGTTCAACAAGAGCTCCGGCGCCGCGAATCCCCCCTCGCCGGTCGAGCAGGACGAAGTGCCGCCCACCGCCAGCGAACCGCCGTGGGAGACGGGAGGAGGAGGGGGAGGGGGGAGCAGTGCGAATGGTGTGTGTCCGTCGGGGATGGGTGCAGCAGCGGGAGGGCGGCAGCCTCTGGTGAACTTCAACGGGCACGGCGGGGCGGGGTCCGCTGGCGCGGAGGAAGGGGAGGCGAGCGAGATGGCGGGGATGCGAGACGCGGAGTCGGAGGGCGGACTCACCACCGACTACCCCGCGCTCTACCGGGAGCCGTCCGCCCGCAGCGACGGCACCAACGGCGGATTCTCCGTGGTCCCCGCGTCCGTCACCACCGCCCCTGGTGAACCGCTCCCAACCCCTCTGGGCACATTCGCGCCGCTGCCGCAGGAGCCGGGGTTCGCGGATTTCCCGTTCGAGCTGCCGTCGGTGGAGGAGCTCGTGCCGATGGAGGGCGGCGCGGAGAACCTGATGGAGATCATGGGGCTCGAGGCGGCCGATCTCGTGCCGCTCGACGAGGCCGCCGTGCCCAACGTGCCGCTTGCCGCGCCGGGTGTCTCGGCGGACGCGTCTCTGACGGGAAGCGGGAGTGCGGAGGGCGGAGGGCCGCAGGAGGCGGACAGCTACGTGGATGTGGACGGCTTGTGGGACTACAGCCAGCTGCCCATGGAGAGGGCGGCGGCGTCTGGCCACGTGGCGGAGGCGGAGGAGTGGAACATACCGATGGAGGGCGGCGAGGAGTGGTTGGGCGAGCAGCTGCCGGCGTTCAATCTCCCCGAGGGCATTTCGATCGACGACTTCCTGGAAGATGCGCTCGTGGCCGACGACCTGCACGTCTTCAATGCTCCCCTACCCGCCGCTCCCGCCGCTCCTGGTGCGCCTGTCCCAGCAGCACCTGCGCCTGCTGCGCCTGCTGGGTTCGCGGAACCTCGAGCGGTACTGAGAGCAGCAGGCGCAGCTGCGCTACCGGCACTTCCGGGCGCGCCATTGCGCCTGCGGGGAGCGACAGCAGGTGGCGCGGCGACGATCGCAGCAGCCGCTGCAGCTCTGGCGAAATCCAAGGCGGCGCAGAGCGCAGCAGCAGCAGCAGCCGCAGCAGGCGGAGAATTTGCACCGCTCGCCAACACGGCCGGCCTTGCGCGAGCAGTGGTGCGGCCCAGGTCGCGGCCTGCGCGTGCAGCGGGCGCCATCAGGCCAGTGCCCGGCAGCTCGTCCATGGCGGGGCGGCGGGTGCGCATGCAGATGTTCAACGCGCCGCAGCTGTTTAACGCGCCGGCGGCGCAGCTGACGGGCAGCAGCAGCCGGTCCAGCAGCAGCGCGCCGGTGTCGCTCAACCTCAATGCTGCGCGCCCCGCTGCTGCGGCGCACTCGCACCCGCGTCTCGCGCAGGTACTGCCGTTCTTCAAGCTGCGGCGCCGGATGGTGCGCGCGGAGTAGACGTTACGTTTCGTTTTCTTGGTTGACGGTGGCTCTTTGCCAGCGGGTCCTGTTCCCGTTTCGCGTTGTTTCTCCGCTAAACTCTTTTTTCTTCGGGGGGAGTTGTTTTGGGTTCGTAGCACCCCTTTCCCAGCCGTCCATCTCTTCTCCCCCGTTTCTTCCGCCCACGTCCATCCCCTTGACCCTTTCCGCGCCTCCATATCCGCTCCCTTTCTCTCTCTCATTCTCTCTCTGATAATCAGGAGCATGCCAGTATGGGGGATCAGGATTGCCCCATGGGTGATGAGGAGTGGTCTAGGAGTATCTCTCAGCATGACAGCATGGTCGCACCACAACCTATGGGCATGGCTGCTGCTTTTGATGGGCCGGTTTTGGACTCGAGCATGGAGCTAAGCCCCGTTGCAGGTAGAACTCGCGAGTTACCACCGACAACGTTTCTATTTCCTCTTAGTCCTTCTGCGCTCTTCCCTTTTTTGGCCTGGCAGTCGCTGATAGTCTCTGTCTGCGTTGCCCTCCGGTGTGTCCTCCTCTGGTCTCCCCCCCTCTGCCAGACGTTGCAAGGCACTTTGCCGTTGAAGATGTGGACGGACATGGGGCTCGCATGACTGACGCCGCTCCTGCTGCTCCCGCCGCTTATGCTGCTGCTGCTCCCGCAGTTGCTGCTGCTGCCGCCGGTGCTGCATTTGGCGGTGGTGCTGCGGGCGCGGCAGATGCGGTTTGTGTGGTGGGGCACGAGGAGGGAGGGGTGAGAATCCTTCCCATGCCGCACGATGTCCCTCACCACCATCTTCCAATAGAGGGCGCTGCTGTAGAGGGCGTTCCTGTAGAGGGCGCTGCCGTAGAGCCAGTCGCTACTGAGCCTGCTAGATTACACGCGCACGCCCTTGAAGCGCTTGCCCTACAGCCACACGCGTTACAGCCACACGCGCTAGAGCCACACGCACCAGATGTAGACGGATGGCTGGCAGTAGGCGAGGATGCGGAGGGTCTGGAAGATGTGCTTCTCATTGGTGATGCCGCTGCTCCTGCTGCCGCTCCTGCTGCTGCACCTGCTGCTGCACCTGCTGCTGCACCTGCTGCTGCTCCTGCTGGTGCTCCTGCTGCTGCTCCTGCTGCTCGTGCTGGTGTGCGTGGCGTCCGTATGGCCGATGTTCATATAGTGGGTGCACCTGCAGCGGGTGCACCTGTACCTGACCGTGTGTATGAGCCCCCTGTGCCTGGTGCCCCCGCCAGGGCTGGTGCTGGCCTTCCTCTCGAGGGACCCGCCCCAGCTGCTGCCGCTGAGCCGCCGCTAGAACCCCCTCCTGCCGCCGCGGCTGCGGTTGCAGCGCCCGCTCCAGCTGCTGCCGCTGCAGTCGCTCCTGCTGTTGCTGCTGCTGCAGCGCCAGTGCCTGCAGCGCCTCGTGCTGCAGCAGCGGCGGCCAGGCTCGAACCAGCAGCAGCAGCACCTGCAGAAGCACCAGCAGTAGCAGTAGCACCAGCAGCAGCAGCAGTGGGCCGTGCGGTTGAGCCTGGGGCGGGAGCCGGCCATGGCATGCCTGAGCACGGCGGTGCTGTGCTCCGTTGGGAGCAGGTGCGGGACGACGAGGCAAGGCAGGGGCGTGTGGGGATGGCAGAGGGCGCAATGATTGTGGGAGCAGGGCGCGGGCAGGGGCTGAGATTACGACAGACTGCAGAGCGGCCGCAGCAGGAGAGGCAGCGGGTACTAGAGCAGAGGCAACAGCTGCTGGCGCAACGTGAGGCTGCGGCACCCGGGGAAGGGGAGTTGGCTGTCCCTGCTGCTCCAGCTGCCGCCGTTGAAGACGCGGGAGCAGCTCCTGGAGTGGGTGCTGCAGCGCAGATCAGAGCAGCTGGCCACAGAGACATGGATGGTCGCAGAGTGGAGGGAGACGAAGGTCTCGCTGCCGATGGGGATGCGGAGGGGCGGGCAGACAGGGATGTGGAGTGGGCGAGAGGCAGAGGCAGGGGTGTGGCAGACAGGAGCAGTGCCACTTCGATGGAGGCGGAGGGGCCTGCTGGCCCCGCTGCGACAACTCCATCCCAGAAGATGACGACAGACGGCGTGTCGGCGGGTGCGAGTGCCACTCACCTCCGGCATGCTGGTAGGTCCTTAGATGTTCCTCAATCCGACGATGCTTCCGCAGCAAAGGCGGGCAACTTGTCGGCAGCAGAACTAGCTGCCGCAGCAGCACAAGGAGCTCCTGCTGGGGTGCCGCTGACACCTGCTGCCCAAGCGCTGTTCGTTGCAGCGCCTGCAGCATCAGCCAGTTCTGGTGCTGCTTCTTCAGGAATTTGTGAAACCGTTGCTCTCTCATCCCATCCTTCCCCTGCATCGCTAGTGCCGGGAGCAGGGGAGGGAGACAGTGGGGGCGAGGAGCCGCGGTCTGTGTGTGCTCGTGCTCGCCCCATCGCAGACCTCATTGCAGAGTCTCGAAAGACGGGCGGGCGCCGCCAGCTCTGGCAGCAGTATGTGCCGGCTCGGCGCTCAGTCAACCTAGGAGCTGCTGCTGCACCAACAGCAGCAGCAACAGCAACAGCAGCTGGAGGAGGCGAAGGCACCTCACCAGCTTTGACAGCCCCCAAAACGTCGGCAGATTTGGATGGCTCTGCAGCTTCTGTCCGCCAGCCGATGGCGCCCTGCTCCATGAAACCCAAGGGGCCTGCGCCCGTCATCTCCAAGGGAGGCCGCGTTGTGGGAGGCAGGCCACTGTACTCAGTGTTGCGTGGAGGGGCTGCAGGAGGAGGGGTGCGGCCCACTGGTGGGCTGAGGCCTGTTCCCCGGTACATGAGCGGTGTGCTGCAGTTCCTCTCCGCCCTCCCCGCTCGCCCTGCTAACGCCGCAGAGCTGCCTGCAGGTTGGGGTGTGAAGGCTGGCGCAGAGGCAGAGAGTGGCAGTCGCAGGGCAGAGAAGGGGCAGCAGCTGGGGGAGGAGGCTGCAGCTTTAGGGGACTTCGAGGGGTTGGTTTACGGGGAAGGAGAGGAGGAGGTGGAGATAGAGGAGTGGAGTGAGGAGGAGGAGGTGTTTGAGTCGCGCTGGTGGGTGGATTCTGCTGGGAGGCTGCTGCCGACAGCGAGGCTGATTGGGGGGAGTGGGGGAGGAAGGGGCACGGGGCGAGCTGCAGTGGTGGAGGAGTGGGAGGTGGAGACAGAAGACGTGGTGTCGTCTGTTCTGTCCGATGAAGGAACGGACGACCCTGATCTGCTGGATACTGCTAGTAGTGGGGGTTCGGGGGGATCTGGTGGAAGCAGGGAAGCAGGGAAGAGACAGGGAAGGGGCAGCGGTAGCAGCAGGGTGGTGAGGCGGCACAGAGTGACTGTGGCCAGTGGTTGGGTTGAGAGGCCGCCTCAGCTGGTGGATGAAGATTCAGCTGTTTTTGCCCCCAAAAAAAACCACCTGCTGGGGGTAAGGGCAGCTGGTGCAAGGAGGGGAGGGAAGAGTGGTGGTAGTGCGGGCAGCGGTGGGGGCCTGAGGGAGTTGGAGGAGTTGGAGCTCTCCCCATGGACACTGCTTGCTCTGCTGCTGAGGCCGCTGGTGGTGGCCACCAGGAGATGGTTGCATGAGCAGAGAGTGCTGCTGTGGATGGCTTTGGCTGTGTGTTTCGTTTTTGTGGGCGTGATTATGGCGCCTGCTTGGCGTGTGAGCCCTATGTTGCTCTCGGCATGAAAATCGTGCGAGGCAGTAGGCTGTGTTTTCTTTTTCCTGTTCTGTTTCGGTGCTAGTGTATCCATGCATCACACCTGGTGTGGGGCGTCTCTTTTGTGCAGTCGGAATGTGTACAAATAGCCATTTTTGAATCCAATGAATGGATAAACTCAAGGTTGATACGAAGTGTATTGCTTTCCGAACATCAATACGGTCATATTTGGTCATATCTTAGCCATCCTGAACGAGTAACCCTAGCAACCACTTCCGCACAATAGCACTTCCATTCGCACAAGTGTACTTTTTGCATCATTGCCATAGAGCACCTCATCCCCCTGCCAAAGTTGTGCCTAAACTCGCGTTGACCTGGCTGGGTTTCCTACATGGACCTGGCAATAAACAAGCGGCACACGCTGAGCACCTTGGTTGAACGCGGAGACCCGCAAACGAGTTTCACGCGGAGACTTCCCTTACCTCCTTCCCCTCACCCCTTCACCCCCCAGCCCAAAGCAATCACTTGTCCTAAATGAGTGCATCGTAACCGCTCAATCTGATGCTCCCACCTTACGCTACCTCTTCGTCCCGTCGGATCAAGATGGGCGCGGCACGATCTTGTGGAGTTCACATGCAAGGAAGGTCACCGCCAGGCCTCTCGATGTGTTTTGGGGCACCCAGCCAGATCCGAGCAGGGACCGAGAATCACCCTGCCACTGCAGGGTGAGGGTCCGCTCCTTGTCAAGAATTGGCCGGATCACTTGATATCCGTCAGAAATGGCAGGGATAGGATTCACCCACTCTGAATTGAATTATGATTGATTTCTAGTTCTCGTTGTCATCTCGCGAGGGGGGAGGGGTGGTGGTGAGTGGGGGGCTCGTCCGAAACTCAGGAAATGGTCAAAAATAAAGGTTTTTTTTTGTTTTTTTTTTTTCTCAGCTGTGAAGGTGCCGTTTTCGTGAAGTCAAAAGGGCGGAGTTGGGACTTGATCTGAATTTCAAGATTTCATGTTTTCGAAGGGGAAGGCTCCATACTTGGAGTGATTCCAAGGAAGTACTCGAGGCCTACAGCAGCTTCTGCAGCTTCTCAGTCTAGGCACGATTTGTCTCTCTGAAACTTAACCTTAGCCAGATTCTACTCAACCTGTTGGGCTACAGAACGCATTTTCCTTGTGAAACCATTTCTTAGCCAATTTTACAGCTAGCCCCTAGGGCGTATGAGGGCGTAGAATAAAATTTCCGCTGGGTTTTTCGTTGGCAGATATAGTGCACGCAGGGTTCCAGGTAGACGAAACTTAGATTTTCTGGGTGAATCCGTAGCATGGTCAGCATCTGGCAGGGTGGCACAGGCCTCGGACCCTCCTTTGTAGCCCACCACAAAAGCTCACTCTGAAAAACAAGCCAAACAGGTAAAAATACCCTGACTTCCTGGGGCCTGGTCACCCCGCCACCAGCCTCGGCGCACTGTTCCCCTCTCCGCTCGCCGCCCTTTTCCCCCATCTCAAACTCGCCATCCGTCCCACTCCCGCCTGAGCAAACCACCTCGCCCCATACGCAACCCAGCTCCCCCCAGCCTTCCTGCTGCCCACCCGCCAATTCCAAAATTTCCGCGCACCTCCTTACCTCTCCTCCCTTCCCCCCCACCCCATTCCTCCCCCGCAGAAGCACCAGCTTCCGCCATCATCCATCACCCAGAAACAAGGGATTTGGTAAAAACTCTTCCTCCCCGGAGCAGCAACTCTCACCGTTTTCATTCAGAGGGCATATCGTGTGAGTTTCAGGACTCATAGTTGCACACCTCGATGCACAGCCTAGCAACCTGGACAAGTTAGGGGCTTACTCTGCTCTCGCGAGCTTTCCCAAACACTTGAGAAGGGAATTTCATGTTCCGCCTCGTCTTTTAGGGTACATTCCGCGTGCGTGTCAGGAATGCTGACACAAAGCCAACGAACGGTTGTGAGCATTGCGAGTCATCACTGTTGCTGACCTGTCAAGACCTCCACCGTCGAGAGCTTCTAGTCAGAGAGCGTGACACGCACGGGGAATGCACCCTTATCCTTCTCTCACTTTTTAGAGTCTCTTTGTTTTGGACCCATTTTCTGCGCGCACTCGCTCGTTCCCAAGATTTTCCGCTGCTAAGCAGAAACTGGGATGCGAACAAGAAGAAGAATCGAGGATGCCACCGTTTCCGTCGCTGCCGGGGTTCCGGCGGTTCAGCCCGACAGACGAGGAGCTGCTCGGCTTCTACCTGCAGCGCAAGGTCGACGGCACCCTCGACGACGGCGGCTTGCTCGTCGAAGTCGACATTCTCAAATGCGAGCCGTGGGACCTCCCTCCCGAGTCGTGCTTTGATGCCGGCCAGCGGTACTTCTTCTGCACGCTCGACAAGAAGTACCCGCGCGGGGCGCGCATGAATCGCGCCACGCCGAGCGGATATTGGAGGTCCACGGGCCCGCTTAAGAGAATCTGGAGCTCGTGCAAGACGGCGATCATAGGGACCAGGAGGACGCTCGTGTTCTACCGCGGGCGAGCGCCGCACAGCGACAAGACGGGCTGGGTGATGCACGAGTACCAGCTCGAGTCCGAGTCGCTGTCCCGCGCCGCCGCTCCCGCGGCGCACTGCGTGCTGTGCCGCGTGTTCGAAAAGAGCCCCGCCGCTGTGAATTCCACGTCGCCGATCGAGCAAGGCGAAGGGACGGCGCCTGTCAGCGAGCTCACGTGGGAGACGGGAAGAGGAAGCGGCGGCGGAGGAGGAGGGCCTAATGGTACGAATGGGGTGTCAGCGGGAGGCAGTCAGCCGCTGGCGGGGGCCGCGGAGGAAGGGGGCGTGTGCGAGTGGGCGGGAATGGAGGGCACGGAGGGCGGGGGCGCGGAGGCGGAAGTTGGGCTGACCACCGGCCCGCACGCGCTCCAGCGGGACCCGTCCGCCCGCAGCGACGGCGCCAGCAGCTTCTCCACCGCCCTCGCGTCCTTCACCCCTCCTCCTCCCCTTCCATCACAAAAATGTGGACCTCTCCTATATTGTAGGTATAGTTGTTCGTATAGCAAGGCTACTCCGTAGCAGACGTACCTATGCCATACCTACTGTATACCTACTCCGTATTTCTGATCCTGGAATTTTGGGATGTCCTCCTCCTCTTCCTGCTGCTGATGCCGAAACGCCTCCCGCTCCTCCGGGCACATTCCCGCCTTTGTCTCAGGAGGCTGGGTCTGTGGATTCCCCGTTCTTGACGTCGGATGAGGATTTTACCTGGATGGACGAATTCTGGAAGGGGCTCGCCAATGAATCCCCCTTGCCGAATGGGCCCATTGCCGCGCCTCAGCCCTCTATTAATCTACCGGAAGGCATTTCGTTTGGCGATTTTATCAAGGATACACCCGCCAATGATCTGCACCCCTACGATGCCTCACTCCCCGCCCCTCTTGCCGCTCCTGCCGCTCTTGCTGCGCCTGTCCCACCTGCGGCTGCAGCTGTGGCTGCGGCAGCAGGTTCCGCGCCACCTGCACCTGCACCTGCTGGCGGAGTCTCTCCAGCGGCCCCTCGGGCCGTGCCCGCGCACCAGCGGGCAGCGCCAGCAGCAGGCGGAGCAGCCACGATCGCAGCAGCCGCCGCAGTGCTGGCTAAAGCCATGGTGGCATGGAGCGCCGCCGCAGCAGCAGGGCGAGGCTCCACTCCTCGCTCTAATGCGGATGGTCTCGCCCCCATCCGTTGCGCCACTCCCACCATTCCCGCGAACACCGCGAGAGCAGCGGTGCGGCCCAGTTCGCGGCTGGTGCATGCAGCGGGCACGAGGAGGTCGGTGCCTGGAAGCTCGTCCATGGCGGGGCGGCGTGTGCGCAGGCGGGCGTTCAACTCGCCGGGGGCGGGTAGAAGGAGCATACCTGTGTCGCTGAACCTGGGTGTGCGACCTGTTGCTGCGGCGCCCTCTCACCCGCATCCCGCGCAGGTATTGCCCTTATTCAAGCTACGGCGGCGGATGATGCCCAAGGAGTAGGTCTTGCACTTTCTTTTGTTTCTTTTCTTTTTTTCCAACAGGTCCTGTTCTTGTCGTTTCTGTTGTTAACGCCCTCCTTTTTGGGGTGTTTTTTGGTTCATGGCACCTTTTCTTCCAGTGTCCCATGTCTTTCTTCCTTTCTTCTGCCCATGTCGCCATCCTCTTGACCTTTTCAGTGCCAACCATCCTCTCTGTCTCTCTCTTTCCCCCTCTCCTATGATCAGGCGTATGGCAGAGTGGGTGATGAAGAGGGCATGGTCGCATCACCGTCAATGGCTGCTTTGGACTTGCCGAGATTGGCCTCCGTTGCAGGTCGGAACCTGTGGTTGGCATGCTTTCTTGCCTCGTTTTCGTCCCTTCTCTTCCTTTCACCCCACTCACTTCCATCTGTTCTCATCGCAAATGGAGTCTCCCTCCTGTCACAGGGGTGCAAGTGCTCGTTTTCTCTCGCGTTTTAGTCGGCTAATAGTCTCTCCGTGTGTGTCGTCCTTTGGTCTGCCTGCCCCCTGCTGGTCCATCCCCCTCTGACAGAGGTCGCAGGGCTCTTTACTGCTGAAGGTGTGGACAGACATGGGGCTCGGATGAGGATCGACCCTCCTGCTGCCCCTCCTGCTGCTGCTGCTGCTGCTGCTGCTGCTCCTGCTGCGCCTGCTGCCCCTGCTGCTCCTGCTGCGCCTGCTGCCCCTGCTGCCCCTGCTGCTGCTGCTGCTGCTCCTGCTGCTCCTGCCGCTCCCGGCGCCTATGCTGTTGCTGGTGAGGGCGTTGCTGTACGGCCCCAGGCGCTGCAGCGACACACTTTGCATCCCGACATGTTACAGCCACCGACAGCACACGAACAGGACTGGCTGGCAGAAATAGTCAATCTGGAAGATTTGGAGCTCTTTGGTGCCGCTGTCCCTGTGGCCCCTGCTGCTCCTGCTGCCCGTGCTCCTCGTGATGGTGGACGAGGCGTTCCTATAGCCGAGACACCTATAGCTGGTGCGCTTGTGCCTGACCGTGCGTTCGAGCCCCCTGTGCCTGTGCCTTGTGCTCCCGCCAGGGCTGATGCTGGCCCTCTGGGACCTGCCCCAGCTGCCTTTGCTGCTGCTGCTGCTGCCGCTGCTTCTGCTGCTGCTGCTACTGCTGCGCCGCTAGTACCCCCTCCTGCCGCCGCTGTAGCTGCAACAGCGCCCGCGCTGGTTGCCGCTGCAGCAGTGGTTGGCGCGGTCGCTCCTGCTGTCGCTGCTGCTGCCGTGCCAGCGCGTGACAGGCTTGAAGCAGTAGCAGCAGCAGCAGCAGCTATAGGTTGGGCTTGGCCTGGGGAGGTAGCCGGGATGGGCAGCCCAGCTGAGGGTGGTGCTCTGGACAGTTGGGGGCATCTGGGGGACGGCCACGGCGGGCAGGAGGCTGCCAGGGCGGACGAGCGTGCAATGGCGGACGAGCGTGCAATGGCGGACGAGCGTGCAATGGCGGACGAGCGTGCAATGGCGGACGAGCGTGCAATGGCGAACGAGCGTGCAATGGCGGACGAGCGTGCAATGGCGGACGAGCGTGCAATGGCGGACGAGCGTGCAATGGAGGACGAGCGTGCAATGGCGGACGAGCGTGCAATGGCGGACGAGCGTGCAATGGCGGACGAGCGTGCAATGGCGGACGGGCATGCAAGGGCGGACGAGCGTGCAAGGGCGGACGGGCATGCAAGGGCGGACGAGCGTGCAAGGGCGGACGGGCATGCAAGGGCGGACGAGCGTGCAATGGCGGACGGGCATGCAAGGGCGGACGAGCGTGCAAGGGCGGACGGGCATGCAAGGGCGGACGAGCGTGCAAGGGCGGACGGGCATGCAAGGGCGGACGAGCGTGCAAGGGCGGACGGGCATGCAAGGGCGGACGAGCGTGCAAGGGCGGACGGGCATGCAAGGGCGGACGGGCATGCAAGGGCGGACGGGCATGCAAGGGCGGACGGGCATGCAAGGGCGGACGGGCATGCAAGGGCGGACGGGCGTGCAATGGCGGACGAGCGTGCGATGGCGGACGAGCATGCAAGGGCGGACGAGCGTGCAAGGGCGGACGGGCATGCAAGGGCGGACGGGCGTGCAATGAGTGCAATGGCAGCAGAGCGTGCACTGGTGGAAGGGTATGAAATGATGGAAGAGAATGTAATGGCGGGAATGCGTGCACTGGTGGAAGACCATGCGACGCCGGAAGAGCTTGATTCTGCATGGGACGGAGCATCGTTCGTGATTCTTCAGTGCTTGCAGGGTTCCCCACCACAGTGTCTGGGGGTACTGGAGCGGAGGCAGCAGCTGACAGAAGGAGGTGAGGCGGAGGCACTTGGTCTGCTAGGGGAGTTGGCTGGTGCTGCTCCAGCGGCAGCAGCTGAAGGCGCGGGTGGAGCTCCTGAGTTGTGGTCGCGGGACAGTCTACAACCGCAGGTGGTACACGAGCAGGGATGGCTGGCAGCGGAGGCAGACCTTATTTTTGGTGCAGGTTATGACGATTCTGAGTGTGAGGGTGCAGAGTTTCCTGGTGTGGAGGATCTGGAGCTCATTGGTGATGACTTTGATGGGGCAAGAGGCAGAGGCACGGATGCCTTTGATGGGAGCAGTTTCAACCCGATGGAGGCGGAGGGCGATGGTGTGGAGCCAGCCGCTACCGAGCCCATTGAATGGCTGGCAGGGTTTGTTGACGATGCAGAATTTGAGGGTGACGAGTCTGACGACGCAGACTTTCAGGGCGCAGAGTTTGAGGGTGCAGAATATGAGGGTGTAGAGTTTGAGGGCGCAGAGTTTGAGTGTGCAGAGTATGAGGGTGCAGAGTTTGAGGGTGCAGAGTGTGAGGGTGCAGAGTTTGAGGGCGCAGAGTGTGAGGGTGCAGAGTGTGAGGGTGCAGAGTGTGAGGGTGCAGAGTGTGAGGGTGCAGAGTGTGAGGGTGCAGAGTTTGAGGGTGCAGAGGTTGAGGGTGCAGAGTTTGAGGGTGCAGAGGTTGAGGGTGCAGAGGTTGAGGGTGCAGAGTGTGAGGGTGCAGAGTTTGAGGGCGCAGAGTGTGAGGGTGCAGAGTGTGAGGGTGCAGAGTGTGAGGGTGCAGAGTGTGAGGGTGCAGAGTGTGAGGGTGCAGAGTTTGAGGGTGCAGAGGTTGAGGGTGCAGAGTTTGAGGGTGCAGAGGTTGAGGGTGCAGAGGTTGAGGGTGCAGAGTATGAGGGTGCAGAGTATGAGGGTGCAGAGTATGAGGGTGCAGAGTATGAGGGTGCAGAGTATGAGGGTGCAGAGTATGAGGGTGCAGAGTATGAGGGTGCAGAGTATGAGGGTGCAGAGTATGAGGGTGCAGAGTATGAGGGTGCAGAGTATGAGGGTGCAGAGTATGAGGGTGCAGAGTATGAGGGTGCAGAGTATGAGGGTGCAGAGTATGAGGGTGCAGAGTATGAGGGTGCAGAGTATGAGGGTGCAGAGTATGAGGGTGCAGAGTATGAGGGTGCAGAGTATGAGGGTGCAGAGTATGAGGGTGCAGAGTATGAGGGTGCAGAGTATGAGGGTGCAGAGTATGAGGGTGCAGAGTATGAGGGTGCAGAGTATGAGGGTGCAGAGTATGAGGGTGCAGAGTATGAGGGTGCAGAGTATGAGGGTGCAGAGTATGAGGGTGCAGAGTATGAGGGTGCAGAGTATGAGGGTGCAGAGTATGAGGGTGCAGAGTATGAGGGTGCAGAGTATGAGGGTGCAGAGTATGAGGGTGCAGAGTATGAGGGTGCAGAGTATGAGGGTGCAGAGTATGAGGGTGCAGAGTATGAGGGTGCAGAGTATGAGGGTGCAGAGTATGAGGGTGCAGAGTATGAGGGTGCAGAGTATGAGGGTGCAGAGTATGAGGGTGCAGAGTATGAGGGTGCAGAGTATGAGGGTGCAGAGTGTGAGGGTGCAGAGTATGAGGGTGCAGAGTATGAGGGTGCAGAGTGTGAGGGTGCAGAGTATGAGGGTGCAGAGTATGAGGGTGCAGAGTATGAGGGTGCAGAGTATGAGGGTGCAGAGTATGAGGGTGCAGAGTATGAGGGTGCAGAGTATGAGGGTGCAGAATATGAGGGTGCAGAGTATGAGGGTGCAGAGTGTGAGGGTGCAGAGTATGAGGGTGCAGAGTATGAGGGTGCAGAGTATGAGGGTGCAGAGTATGAGGGTGCAGAGTATGAGGGTGCAGAGTATGAGGGTGCAGAGTATGAGGGTGCAGAGTATGAGGGTGCAGAGTATGAGGGTGCAGAGTATGAGGGTGCAGAGTGTGAGGCTGCAGAGTATGAGGGTGCAGAGTGTGAGGGTGCAGAGTGTGAGGGTGCAGAGTATGAGGGTGCAGAGTATGAGGGTGCAGAGTGTGAGTGTGCAGAGTATGAGGGTGCAGAGTATGAGGGTGCAGAGTATGAGGATGCAGACTTTGAGGTGATGTTTGAGGATGCTTTTGTTCTGCATCACGTGGAGCACTTTGGTGGTGCTGCTGCCCCTGCTGCCTCTGCTTCTCATGATGGTGTGCGTGGCGTTCCTACAGCTCATGTTCCTATGGCGGGTGTACCTGTACCTGACCGTGTGTATGAGCCCCCTGTGCCTGGTGCCCCCGCCAGGGCTGGTGCCAGCCTTCCCCTCGAGGGACGCGCACCGGCTGCCCCACCTGCCCCACCTGCACCACCTGCGCCACCTGCAGCTGCTGCGCCGCTGCTAGTGCCCCCTCCCGCCCCTGCAGCGGTTGTGGCACCCGTTCCAGCTGCTAATGCTGCAGCACCAGTCGCTCCTGCTGGTGCTGCTGATGCAGCGCTGGTGCTTGGTGCGCCTAGTTCTGCAGCAGCGGCCAGGCTTGAAGCAGAAGCAGCAGCAGCAGCAGCAGCAGCAGCAGCAGCTGTAGCAGCTGAAGCAGCAGGCCATGGGTTTGAGCTTGGGGCGGGAGCTAGGCTTGGCACACCAAATCAGGGTGGTCCCGTGGGTCGTTGGTTGCAGGTGTGGGACGGCCAAGGAAGGCAAGGGCGTGTGGGGATGGAAGAGCGAGCAGAGACAGCAGAGCTTGCAATGATTGTGGCGGAACTAGAGCACGGAAGGGTGCACACACGGCCACAGACGTTTCGACGGATTTTACAGAGTCCACGTCAACGGCCACAGCCGGTACCACTGCTGAGGCAACAGCTGGCAGCAGAACGTGAGGCTGAGGCACTCGGTCTGCAAGGGGATTTGGGTCCCGCTGCTGCTCCAGCGGTCGAAGAGGAGGGAGGAGCTGCTGGGGAAGGCGCTGCAAAGCAGATCAGAGCACCCGGCGACAGAGAGGTGGACAGAAGCAGGGCAGAGAGAGGTGAAGGGCTTGCTGCTGCTGCTCCAGTGGCAGCAGTTGAAGGTGTGGGAGAGGCTCCTGAAGAGGGTGCTGCAGTGCAGATCAGAGCAGCTGGCGACGGAGATGTGGAGAGAGGCAGAGCCGACGAAGATCGGGATGCGGATGGGGCAAGAGGCAGAGGCAGACGCAGGGGCAGGGGTGTCACAGATGAGAGCCTTCCCAACCCGATGGAGGCGGAGGGGCCTGCGGGCCCCGCTGCTGCAACTCCATCCCAGAAGATGGTGACAGTCGGCGTGCTGGCGGGTGGTGCTGCTGCAGCAGGCAGTCCTGATTCCCTCGGGCACGTTGGTAAAGCTTTAGACGTTGCCCAATCCAACGACGCTTCCACGGCAAAGGTGGAGAAACGCATGGCAGCAGCGACAGCGGTGGCAGCAGCGTCAGCGGTGGCAGCAGCCGTGGTGCAACAGCCAGCAGCAGAACCGGCCACAGCTGCTGCAGGGGTGCCAATGAAAGCTGCAGTTCTAGTGTTGCGTGCTGCAGCGCCTGCAGCAACTGCCAGTGCTGGTGCTGCTTCTTCAGGCCTCTCTAGTGAACCCAATGCCCACTCCTCCCGTCCTCCCCCTCCGCCTCTGGTGCCAGTGCAAAGGGAGGGAGAGTCAGAGAGCAACAGTGAGGGCGAGGAGCAGCGGTCCGTGTGTGCTGGTGCTCGCCCCATCGCACGTCTGAGTGTGGAGGAGGAGGTGTTCAAGCCGCGCTGGGGTGTGGATTCCTCAGGGACGCTGCTGCCGGCAGCCAGGCTGATCGGGGGAAGTGGGGGAGGAAGAGGAATGGGGGGAATGGGACGAGCTGCCGAGGTGTGGGAGGTGGATACGGAAGAGGTGGACTCATCTGTGTTGACTGATGAAGAAAATGACGACCCTGATTTGCTGGATACTGCCTGCAGTGGGGGCTCAAGGGGGTCGGGTGGAAGCAGGGAAGCAGGGAGGAAACAGGAAGGTGGTGAGGGAATCAGTAGCAGCGGCGGCAGAACGGTGGTGAGGCGGCACAGAGTAGTCGGCACTAGTGGTTGGGTTCAGAGGCCGCCTAAGGTGGTGGATGAAGATTCAGTTGGGTCTGCCCCAGAAATAAACCTGCCCGGGGAAAGGGCAGCTGGTGCAAGGAGGGAATGGAAGAGTGGTGGTGGTTTGTGCAGCAGGTATGGGAAGAGTCGGCTGCTTGAGCAGAGGGTGCTGCTGTGGATGGCTTTGGCTGTGTGTTTCGTTTTTGTGGGCGTGATAATGGCGCCTGCTTGGCGTGTGAGCCCTCTGTTGCTCTCAGCATGAGAATCGTGCTAGGAGGCAGTAGGCTTTGTTTTGTTTATGTTTCCCGTTTTGTTTGGTTGCTTGTTTTGTGTGTGCGTAAGCACCACATCCGGGCAGGGTGTCTCCCTTGTAAATAAAACTTGCCTGCAGCAGTAATGTCTGTGCAGCAGTAATGTCTGTACAGATAGCATGTTTTGCACCAATAAAATGTATCGACTCCATGTTGACACTATCCTACCTACCGGTATACATTGTCATTTGTGCTGAAAACATCACCCACAATTTATTGGTTCATCACCCTAATGTCACCCTGAATCTTATTGTACGTGTGACTATCCACTAAACTAAGAGTAGTTTCTGTGTGATAGCTGATGAGACGCTTGATGCTCAGGTTGTTGAGCCAATGTTGCATTCCAGCAAATCAGGAACGTTTTCGGCTTGAACTGCCTAGGCAAGTGGTAGTCAGGTCGAGCCCGAACCTGAGACATGTTGAGCTGAGGGAGCTGGGAGCTCGACGAGCACTCGCTGTGGATGCTGCTTGCACTGCTGCTAGTGGTGGTGGCCAGGAAATGGCTGCATATGGAGAGGAAGGTGTTGTGGGTGAGTTTGGATGTGTGTTTCATTTTTGTGGGCATGATGGTGTCTGCTTGGCATGTCAGCCCTTTGTTGCTCTCAGCACGAGAATCGTCCTAGGAGGCTTCCATTGCTCGTGGAGAGACACTGTCCTATCAACTTATACATATGTGACATATGTAGAAGTTACTACATAGGCTAGATGGGTAAGTGCTCTTAGAGAGTACAACACCAAACCAAATATCTCACCTGCATCCCTTGCTTCAGTTTACTTCCCTATTCTAACATGGTATCACGCTAGGTAGGTCCCACCCACCCACGCTTCCGCCCTAGCCTAGCCTAGCCTAGCTCGTCGCCTACCCTAGCCTAGCTCGTCGCCTACCCTATTCTAGCTTCGCGCCGCCATTAGAGCGCCCCCCCAAGGCCCCTTGCGTCGCGCCTCTCTGCCCGCTCGACGCCGCAGCAAGCCCCAGCTCGTTGCGCGCCAGAACCGCAACTAGCCGATGCGCCAGGCCCCAACTCGCCGCGCGCCAAGCCTCAGCTCCTCGACGCGCACTAGGCCCCAGCTCCTAGCCGCACGCCAGGCCTCTGCTAGACGCTGCGCCGGCCCCAACTCGATGCCGTGCAGGCCCCAACTCGATGCCGCGCCGGCCCTTGCTCGCCGCCGCGCCGGCCCCTGCTCGCCGCCGAGCTGGCCCCTGCTCGACGCTGCGCCACCTCCTGCTCGCCGCCGTGCCGGCCCCTTCTCGCTGCCGCGCCGACCCCTGCCCGACGCCGTGCAGGTCCCTGCGCCGGCCCCAGCCCAACGCCGCGCCATGCCTCTGCTCGCCGTCGGCCCCAGCTCGTTGCCGAGCCGTGCGCCATGTGCCCCCTGTTATAACCACAATAGGCTCAGATGTGCCTAAAATGAGAGAAATTGTGCACAGTCAGAATTCCGTAAGACAGCTTCAAATATTGATGCCGATCTGATCTCAGCCTCAAACGGTGATCTGTAAATTGTATCTAAAGCGCGTTGCTGTCGCCTATCAGCAGCAAGTTGAATCATAAAATTCCATGAAGATTTGACGACGCTATGGCGGTTTGACTGGCAGTAGGTACACTAGCCACAATAGTCTTAGGAGTACAAACTTAGCAAGAAGAGTTCGAGATGGAGATGGTTCCCAGCCCCAAGAGTCGAGGTCCAGGTTGGTGGTACACCACCACAGAGTCCCCAACCATGAAGAGTCTCGAAACAAACCCTCCAAGGGGCTACACCAAGTGAAATGTAACACTACACGAAGTAGCGTTACTATTTTCACTATTTAATATTTATCCGTGTCCCTTGGGCTTGAACTCTTGAGCTCTTGGTCTTGGCTCAGCAAGATAAATTCTTCTTGAGTTGATGGAGGCTTGCTGCACACACCTGCGACACGATGGACACTTCACACTCGACAAAATAGAAAAAACACATGCGACACGCAAACGACGACTTGACATGCGAGTTGTGAAAACTCGCTAATGTCTTGACCGACACAAACCACATTGTGATACACCATTCAAACACACACACAAGCACTAGATAGCAATGACATAGACTTACAATTCATTCCATACCATGCATGCACACACACAAACAAGGACGACAAGCCGAGAGCAAGCCATAGGGTTGCACCAACAAACTCCCCCTCGGATTGTTGGCCTTAGAATCTGCTCCCCTTAGTTTAGAGCCATCCCAGCAAGCTTGCAACACTTCCAATGCTGCTGCTCAAACAGCCTCTTGGTCATCATATCAGCAGGCTGTGCCGTCGTCTTCACGTAGTGCAACTCCACGTCACCCGCGGTTACCATGCTCCTCACCCAATGCCACTTCACCTTCATGTGCTTGGTAAGGCCATGAAGAACGGGGTTCTTAGCCAATGCAATAGCACCCTGGCTATCACAATAGAGTGGGGTAGGTCCTTTCTGCTCCTCCCCCAATTCAGCTAGCAAACGCCGCTGCCACACAACCTCCCTTATGGCACGAAAGAGTGTCATGTAGTCGGACTCCACCGAGCTCAATTCTTGGTCCATTTGCTTCTTGCTCTCCCAAGCTGTTGGGCCTCCACCAACACAGCAGATGAAGCCTCCCACACTTGTCATATCCTCTGGTTCTGATGCCCAAGATGCATCAGAGAAAGCGGTGAGAAAGAGCCTCCCAGGTTCGACTCCATCCGCACCCTTTTGACGCCTTTGTGCAGCCGCGGACTATTGCAGTCCAACAGTTGCTGTTTGGCCAAGATGCTTGGCCACTCTCTCTCCAGCTGCTACTTGCTCTTCATTAGGGCATTGGATAACCGTAGCCAGCTGTCCGGTAGCAAAGGCTGCATCCGGCCTTGTGTGAACGGCCGCATACATGAGGCTGCCCACCAAGGAGTGAAAACGGCGCCTCTCCTCGTCACCAACACTTTCCTCCGCTGGTCCTTTCACACACTTGAACCCCGAGGGAAGTGGAGTAGCCACATGACCTTCAGTTTTCCCAAAGTTTGCAGCCAAGGCCTCCAAGTACTTCTTTTGATGCACTCGCATCCACCGCTTCTCCACATCTCGCTCAATGTGAAGCCCAAGGTAGTAGTTGACGTCACCAAGGGTCTTGCACTTGAACTTGTCTTGAAGCTTCCGCATCACCTCCTTCACAAGGTCAGAGGAGGGTGAGAATATGAGGATGTCATCCACATAAACCACCATGAAGCTCCTCTGCTCCCCCTCGCCAGGCATGAACAACGATTGATCGGCCGTTGAGGGAGTGAAGCTGATCGCCTTCAAGACATCCCGCAGCTTGATGTACCATTTCCTAGGGGCTTGCTTGAGGCCATAGAGTGCTTTCTTCAGCTTCCACACTCTGCCACTCCCATCATTGTACCCCTCTGGCTGCTCCATGTAGGCTCTTCCTCCAAAACGCCGTTGAGGAAGGCCGTTACTATATCCATTTGCTTCACCACCCATCCTTTGATGGCCGCCGCGACGAAGAGGGTTCGAAGGGTTGTACCTTTCACGACAGGGGCATACACTTCATTGTAGTCCTTCTTCTCTTGCTGCTCATACCCCTTGGCTACAAGTCTGCTCTTATCGCACTCAATGTTGCCGTCGGCGTCGGTCTTGCGCTTGAAGAGCCACTTCGAAGAGATCGCCTTCCGCCCCGGAGGAAGGTTCACCAAGTCAAATGTGTCGTTCTCTATGATGCTCCCCATTTCTTCATCTGAGGCCTTCTTCCACTCCTTCCCATTCGGGCCGTCCCAAGCCTCCTTGGGATTTGTAGGCTCCCCCGGTATCTCCACCGGAGAGAAGAAGGCAAAAGTGCACTCCTCGCTTTCATCTTCCGCATCATCGCCTAGCATGAGAGCCGAACCGGTCAAGGTTGAGTTGGCTGGTCCTCCAAGCCGTTCATAGCTCAACCTATTGGGGGGCTCCTTCTCCCCCTTCCTTCCTCCTCTACTGTAGGGACTTGGATGCTCTCATGGTGTTGCTGCAAATCTGGTCGGTTCCCGCGAGCACTTGTAGCATGAGGCGAAAGTGACGGTGCACGCTCATCACCTTGCTGCACCTCCTCCTCCTCTTCTCCCCCATTCATTTGAGGAGATTGCCTTGTGATAGTGCTGCTGCTACTCAGCTCCAAGGGCAGCTCCACATGCTCCAAGCCGGTACTCTTCACCTCTCCAAGCCGCACACCAATCTTTGCTTGGTTCTCCGCTTTCGACTCCTTGTACAATAAGTTCTCAATGAACTTGCAATCTCTGCTCACCAAGAACTTCTTGGTAAATGGGTCCCAAAGAAGCCATCTCTTGCTGTTTTGAGCCATGTCCAGGTGCACGGCCCATGTTGCCTTGGCATCAAGCTTGTTGTGCCGAAGTTTCTTAGGCACAAGTGCCATGCACATGCACCCGAACACCCGAAGCATATCCACCTTTGGCTTCCTTCCAATCCACTCCACATAAGGCACCCATTTGTCTTCTCCCACATGAGTCAAGGCTCTGTTCTTGGCCACACAAGCATGCCGCACCGCATCCGGCCAAAAGTAATTGGGTAGACCGGCTTCAATGAGAAATCCCCGAGCCGTCTCCGTGAGTGTCCGATTCGCACGCTTGGCGATGCCGTTCATTGCAGGAGAGTAGGGCATAGTAAGAGAGTGCCTTATGCCCTGCATCTTCAGCCAAGTTGAGAAATCCTTGCTGAGGAACTCTCCCCCATGGTCAGTGCGAATCGCCTTCACAAGCCGGTCTTGTTGCTGCTCCACCATCGGCAACCAATCGGTCTTCACCGTTTCAGCTACGTCACTCTTCTTGGGCACCACATACACCCAAGTCATGTGAGTGTAGACGTCCACAATGGTGAGGAAGTACTCAGCTCCAGAAGCTCCAAGCTTCAAGGGGCTCACCACATCCATCACCACCTCATCAAGTGGTGCCTTCGCCGTTGTCTCCGAGCAATGGAACGGGTAGCGGGTGAACTTGGCTTGCATGCATGTTGGACAGCCAAGCACCTCATTGGGTTCCCCCTTGACATGTATCCCACTGACCATCTCTTGATTAACTATCTGCTGCAAAATGGGCAATGCCACATGCCCCATTCGCCGATGCAAGGTCAACCAATCACACTCTCCCGTAGCGGAAGTCGGGTTGGAGAAAGCGGCACT